TCTCTTCCCTTCCAGATCAGCAACCTCGGATATTGGGCCTGACAGCTTCTCTTATCAATGATAAAACACCACCAAATCAGTTGGAAGCAAAACTTTCCAAGTTGGAGTGCGTATTGAACAGTGCTATCGAAACAGCCTCGGATCTCGTGGCGGTGCGTATGGTTTTTTCAGTTGTTCAGATTTAGTGCACGCAACTCTGAGCACTCAACTGTGTCCATCTGCTAACCCATATACTGCTGCTCGTACATTCTGTGTGGCTTTCGTATCGTTGTTGCAATGAGAGACCCTAGATAAAGCGCTTCAACAGCTTAGAATAACAGTGAAGTGTGAGAGGCTACTCACAGTGAGTACACTGATGAATACAACTATACTGAGTTGAAGCACAAAACAGGAAGGACGACCTGAATACTGGCGAAAAACTTGAAAGAATTAAGGGTGTCACAGTTTCGTAAGGGAGAAGAAGAAAACACAAAAAATGAAAAGCGAAAGACTTGTAATCAGTGTAATCAGGAACGATGTGTCTAGCAACCTGGTAGCGATTCGTCAAGCATACAGACAAAAATCTCTTAAAAATATTGTATCGAGTGGTTCAGTATAGCTCTGCAAAGTCAAAAAGATAAAGACAGTTGGCGATTGGGATCTTAAAGATGAAAAGAGAGCTAAGAATGCAGCTGCTAGAATCAAGTTGTGAATACTTATTGAAAGTAGTGAGAAACAACTCTGATATGTCTATTTATTATAAATATTTTCGAATTGGTTTCAGAAACTGAAATTTCAGTCACATGTTCAACAGGGTTTTGCGTGGATTTGTCTCCAGTATGAATATTTATCGTTACTTATGTCTATGTAATTTAGATATCCAAATACGGTGCTAAGCCTAATGAGTATGTTGTCATTTCAATGGATTACAACCCTCAGGATAGCTGTGGAGGAGAAATTTTGCAGTTATTGGTAAGTTCAGCTGGAAAGACTGCATGCTTTTCACTGCGGGTTCTGAATGATCAATAGTTTTCAGGAAGATTGGCGAAAATTCTGCTCGTCGACTCAAGAGTTCGATCCAAACTTCGACATCGATCCTCGAAAACCCATTCAAGAAGCGCTCAATAGAACTCTGGCGGTACTTCGTCAGGTCGGACCATGGGCTGCTTGGAAAGTATGATTCTTTTGAACGATTTGCAACTTTCTTGATTTCGATTTGATTCTAGAACTTCTCAGGTTTCTCAAATGTGGGAGAAAGAATTGCACAAACTGACAAAGCAGACTTTCCTTCAAGAGAAGACCGTGGACTTTTTGATTATGGGAGAGACCTGTATGACAACTGTTCGGAAAATGCTCGAGCCTAAGGTTAGCACATACAAGCTCTCGAATGCTTATCATGTTTACATCATGGTGTAGCTTACCTCACTTCAATTTCTTTACTTTTACGAGTTGCCTCCGTTTATTTGAAGTTACCTGTTGTGCTAAGTGTTATCCTGCAGATGAAGCCGATCAGAACTCTTGAAGGATTGAAGCCTTACCTGCCGAACAAGGTTATACGATTGATAGACATTCTCTCGCATTTCAATCAAGACAGAGGGAACGCCTCAGGTGAAAAAGAGGATCCGTTAAGTGGCATCATCTTCGTCGATCAACGCTATGTGGCCTATACCCTCAACGTATGTTTTTTAGCGGTATCCTTTCCTCATGAGAATTTCTTCCTTTTTATCGAGAAAAGGTCAATGATACTGCTGCTCTTCCAGGGTTTCCACGTCATAGAGCCCTTTATTTCCAGGTTTTGCTAAAGCATGTTTGTCGATGGGATCCGAATTTCAAGTTTATTCAGTCTGATTTTGTAATTGGATTCAGTGGTGGGAGTTTCGCATCTGATGACAGCCAAGGATTACACAAACGACAAGCAGATGTGAGGCCGTTAATGGAAATTTTACTGCTTTCTATGTGAAGAAGCAGTTTATTGATTCGAAACGCAGCCTTAAATTCATATAATGTGCAGAAACATCAATAGCTCCTCATCTTTCCCAACTCCTTGGAGTTTTCCAAATTGTGGTTTCCTTCTGAAGTCACACCAAGTTCAATTTAGTTTTTCGTGAAGCAACATAAATCGTCGAAGGTTTCTTGCTTTGAACCTCATGTCTTGAAAAGAGACTATATTGCCTGACTTGTCAGATGGAAAGTCTTTCCATCCTTACGAATCATCGTGAAAACTTTTGTTAAACTTTTTTATTCAGGTAATCCGACGTTTTCGACAAGGTGAACTGAACTTATTGGTGGCAACGAGTGTTTTGGAAGAGGGCGTGGATGTAAGGCATTGCAACTTGGTGATTAAATTCGATCGGCCGATCGACTATCGATCGTACATCCAGGTAGGTTTTTCAAATCAAATGGCAACTTTACCAGGTGGAACTTTGTTCTTGTTCTTATTCTCGTGATTCCCTCGAACTATAAAATTTTAAGTCGAAAGGGCGAGCTCGCAAGCGTGATGGAGGAGCGAAGTATTTCATGTTGGTCGATGAATCAGATAGCTCGAAATGTTCTGAAGATCTCCGAGATTTTGTTAAGATCGAAAAGGTTTGCTCAACTGTTGTGGAAGTGTTTTCGCTTGGCCTGCTTGATTACTAAAATTTTATGGCTTTCAGATGCTTCTACGTCGATGTCAAAGTGTTCACAATCCAGGTGATGATGGAAGTAACGAAGTTGGTCTAGCTCAAAATGTGGATACCTTAATTCCTCCATATGTTGTGAAATCTACTGGTGCGCAAGTTTCCTTGTCTTCAGCGATAGGGCTAGTGAATAGGTTAGTAAATCTTTCCGCAACTTGCTTTCCAGAGCATCCGTTTAGTAAGTCATTGTTCAGGTATTGCGCAAAACTGCCGTCTGATATTTTCACTCGACTTGTTCCTCAAAATCGTTTGATAGCTGTGAATTGTATGGGAAGAACACTTTACAAGGCTGAGTTGTTACTGCCAATAAACTCACCTATAAAGCAACCAATAGTGTTGGAGACACCTTTGGAAAGTAAGAAGCTAGCGCAAATGGCTGTGGCTCTTGAGGTACGTAGTGATTGGCTCGGTTCATGCCTTCTTTTCCGATATTTTTGTTATCGTTTTTCCAATGGCCCTCCATCGGAGTGTTTGGTATTTCAAGGCCTGCCGCGTTCTTCACCAAGCAGGTGAACTGAATGACCACTTGCTTCCGGTAGGACGAGAATCTATTGCCGATTTGCTGAGCCAGCTGGACGAAGACCCGGACGAATGGGCTCCCGGTATCTCCGCTAAAGTCGGGTCGGCGAGGAGGAAACAACTCTATGATAAAAGAGTACGAAGCTTTTTTTTNTTTTTTTTGAATGTTTACATTAGGTCTTTTTTGTTTACTTCAGTGTTTTTGGAAGTGATACTTTCATGTCTTTACTTCCAGGTTGCGACAGCTTTACATGAGGCGCTCCCTGTAAAGGGAGAACCGTGTTATATTTATGTAATGGAGTTAGAACTGCTCAAAGAACCGTCACCGGAGTCGAATCCGAAACGACGACGTTTTGCAAATCCTCTAGATTACGAGTACTTATTTGGATTTTTAAGCTCAAAAGTGCTACCGAAGGTAAGGGGTACAAAGTAGGAAGCACGTTAGATTGTGAGATCAGAGTCATAGTTAAGATTCCGTCCTTCGCGGCCTATCTACGTCAAGGAGATATGCGGGTGCATCTCGTTCGTGCTTCTACTCAGGTAAGCGACTTTGACCTTTCTGCCGTTGTTTCCTCCAGGTTAATGTCAATATTTAGGTTACACTTAACAGTCAGAATCTCACTATGATCAAACATTTTCATCATTATATTTTCAAAAATGTGTTACAATTGTGCAAAGCAAATTTGGATTTCCACCTGGATGCATCGACACCTATAAATACCCTCATTGTACCTCTCCACAGAAGTCAGTTTGTTTCTAAAACTAATTTGTACATTGCCGAGTTCTTATTTATTTACTCTTAATGCTAGACTGCGAAGCTTCACAATGACCTATCGCATGCGACTGTGTTGATTATTGTCAACACATTTGTACGCTATGGGTCATCTACTGAGTTTCACCTCTCCTCAAACTCCCGCTTCCAAGGCGTTGGCTGCCTTTTCTCAATGAAAATAATCCTTCTTATGAAGTGCGGGTTGATAACTTCCCCCCGTCATTCCAACTCGCCACACCTCACTCTATTTTTTCCCGTTGTATTTCATTTGATTAAGCTGCCTCATCGACCAGTGATAAATGGGAATACAGCATAAACATGAAATACGTTGAAGAAGTTGTTCAAATGATGGGTGACACCCCAAGAATACCCAGCGAAGAGGAGCGAAGGAACTTTGTTTTCAAGTGAGCATTCTGTGATTCGGGCTCGATCAACATGCATAATTCACAATGAAAATTTTTCTTGCTTCAGGCCCGAAGACTACAGGGATGCCGTTGTCATGCCATGGTACAGGAATATTGAACAGCCGGTATTTTACTATGTTGCTGAGGTATGCTGTTACCTTTATTCAATATGTAGACCCTTCCGTTCTTCAATTATGGTTACCAGTTATCTCAGTAATGTTGTTTGGCAGAACCTCTTCTTATAACTCCAATATCGCAGACATTTTTTAAGATACTTGAAAATCTTACGCCATCGTCACCATTCCCTGATGAAGAATACTCATCATTCAACGAGTATTTCATCAAGAAATACAATTTGGAGATTTATGATCAGAAGCAGAATTTACTCGACGTCGACTTTACTTCAAAGTAGATTTAGTTTTGTTTTTGTATGTCGTTTCATCGTTCTTAATGTTTACCCAATACTAAAAAGGAAGTTGGTGTAGGGACTGAAGCCATGTTTAAATGCTGTTTCAGTCGGCTGAACTTACTGCTACCGCGTGCTGGTGGAGGGCGACGAAAGACGGCTGCAGTGAAATCCGAAGACAACTCTGCTTTGTCACGGCAACGTCAGATCTACGTTCCTGAACTTATGGATCGACACCCGATATCGGCGACATTATGGAATTTGATATCTGCGTTACCAAGCTTCTTCTACAGGTGCCTTTATTGCTTTTCGCAGTGTGTGCAGAAAAGAAAGGGAAAGCGAAAACAAGGAAATTGGAAAAAAAGATCTATTGCAATTAATCTCAGGATAAATCACCTACTGCTGGCGGATGAGCTGCGTCAGAAGACCCTAGTGGATGCTTTAGGATATTCCAAAGTGGGTCTTTTTCAATGACAATGCCGTTCCTCTCCGAGAGCAGTTTTTGAGTTATTCTCGTTAAAGGAGGATGCCATTGTACCAGACAATTATGAATGGACACCGCTCTCTTATCCTGCCACATACGAGGAGAAACAATCGCTGATAGTCACGAAGATTCAACAACTCAGAGAACAAAATCGCGCCTCTGAAATAGCAGCTGGGAAACTCACAAAGGATCAGATCGAGGCAGAGGTGGGAAATCTCGTTTTCTAAAGCACATTTATTGGCCTTTCTGGGAGATGAGAGATAGATCAGGTAATTTTCCCTCAATGTCCTTTAACACTCCCGCCGTCTTACTGAGTTGGCAAGGATTTTATTTCTGCTCGTTCAGAGAGACTTATTGTTAGCTGAATAGGTGAGCACGATAGGTTAATCCTGTAGGTGTAAAGGGTTTGTTGTTTTAGAATACTTTCGAAGTTGGAGTATGGGAGCCAGTGGTCGTCGAGCCGACCAACGACGAGAATATGCCCCCAACATCATTTGGTGCTGGTGATTCACTTGATACCGTGAGTTAATTACTTCTGCCTGTTCCGATTGCCACTTTCTGGCGTTGTGGAGTTGCTCTCTTTAAAGTATTTTTTTTAGTTCTTCGAGACAACACATTGCTTTTCCATAAACTTGCATTTTCGTCAGGTTGGGTTAATGTCTTCCTCGGTTCGAACCGGTGGGGATCTCTCGGACGACGATGATGCGGATGCGGTAATGATGTTTGACTTCTCCAAGTACCTCGCTGAAAAGGCTGGTAAGAGAATGTTTGTTGGTGGATATGCTCATATAAGTGTTTGCTAGTCATTGTGTTAGATTTTTTTCCAAAATAGTCTTTAGGTACTGCGAAATCAGATTTCGCTGCCCCACGTCCGGATATCCAGCCGACTGGATGGGGTGGTTTTGATGATGCTATTCCTGATACACCATTTGTAAGCATTTGCCTTACAGTTACATGAGCCTAATTATTGTTTTAGTCGTTATGCACGTAAATAGTTAGGTAAATAACTGAATAAGTAACCTAGGTAATTACGCAATTTTTGTGGAAGGGTATTGTAGTGTAGTACGAGTTTGTAGTTTGTATTTTTAGCATATCCTTGGAAGTGCATCGAATCAAATAGATATGACGAGTCTCATGGCTGATCTCCAAAAGCAAATTCTACCTCATCTTCCCAATGCATGGGCTCCCGCCCACGCAGAAGAAAAGAACGGAACCCTTGTTGATATCGACACTGTGCCTACTCCTCCGAAAAAAGCGAACGGTCCTGCTCTACAAAACATCAGCTCCACAATTCTTGAGCCTACAAAAGTGGGTACTCACCCTTCTTTTTTTGAATCATTTCATTTTTCTGGATGATTATAGCTGTATTTGGATAAGATGGAGATGTTAGAAGATCGGGAAAGAGCACAAAAGGAGGAAATCATTGATTTGATGCAGTTTGATGATGGAGGTAATCGTAGTTTTCCTTTCTCTGGCGAAAACGATCCATCTTTTTGACAAACAAAATTAATTGTTTCAGATGATATGGATTGTAGTACTGCGGTTGAGTACTGTTCGGACGATGAGTACACCCAGTTAGAGAATGGTGAACGGCAAAAGTATGAACGTGATCATTCAGTAGTCATCAATCGAAAACTTTCTGAGGTAAGAGATTTAGACTATGAAAATTCTCAACCATACCATGTTCATATTCATTTTGAGGGAGAAATCATCGCTCCAGAATTACCAAGCTGGCAGAATCGTTTCTCATTCGCTTCTGCATCTATGTCCTCTACATGTCTGGTGTCGAATAATGGGACAGTTCCATCAGAATTTCATTCTGCATCTCTTCTTGCCGAAAATCCTTACGGTGTATCTCCTCGTTTGCTGTTGACGGCTCTCACTACCTCAAATGCCAATGACGGTTAGCTTGGTTTCCGTTACATATTGATGTTTTTTGTTTTTTTTT